TCTGGGCTAGGGTCAGGGTTTTGAGGTCCTGGCGGCACCCCCCCCCCCAAGTTGGGGGGGGGGTACCCCCCCCCCCCCCCCCGGTAAAATACTCCTTGTCGTACTCCAGGACAGACGATACCATAAAAAGGTCCCTAACCCTCCTGCGTTGGTACATGATGTCATTACAGATGGACTGCATGGGTGTGATATGAAGCACCGAGCATTGTTATGACTGTCTTTTAGAATGATTTTACTTGGCCCATGAAAAAATAGTCTTTCAGCTAATGCATAGTAGTAAACCAAACTTTCAAATTTTTTGTTTTTGTTTTACTTGGTCATGTTAGTCACTAATTATACAAGTTTGTTTCACGTTCCAAGTAAACTCGAGCTGAGGGGTAGCAGGTTGGAAATTTTGTATGCGCATGCGTTTCTCAAAACTGGCTTATATAAGCGAGCAGGCTTCTTGTGTTACGCGGGAAACTTAAAAACAACAGTAATGGCTGCCGGTTACGTGCAACTGTTTTTGTTTATTCATGTACTACTCTAAAATTCTATCGAACTGTTCGCACGATGGACCTGGAATCCTCTGCTCTTCGATGACTGAAAATTATTTTGCTTTGTTTTGGAAAAACTAACTAATTTGATGGGCAAAGATGAACCTGTGTGATTTTTGTTTTTGAGCAAAAACCATGCAGAATTCAAGATAGATGCTTTAGAAGAACACAATAAGTTCAACAACAAAATCAATAAGAAAAACGAACATGATCACAAATTGATTATAGTAAAGACTGAAAGGTCAAACATATAGAAGACAAAGTGCTTGTCATAATTACCTTGACTAAGGGCCATAATATGTGCGTTAAATATTTCGCACGTGTACAATACAAAAAATATTTTTCTAATGCTTGGCAATTGTCACGGAATCATAAAATAATAACGACTAAATATAAAGTAGAAGACAAAGGATTTTTGTAGCAGACATAAAAACTTTTATGTACAAACGATTTTAAGAAAATGGCGGATGAGACCAACACAAATTCTATATTATTCTATTGAAAATCTTAAGTTAAAAACATAAATCACCAACTATTTTATTCTCGAATTATTTTTATCAAGTGAAATCGTGCTTGAACCAAGCATTCTCTTCTCCGAGTATACACAACGACAACTTGAGTTTTTCCTCAATGCAAGATAACCTG